TATCTATCTATCTATCTATCTATCTATCTATCTATCTATCTATCTATCTATCTTATGCCCGCATCCGATAATAATTAAAATTTCAATTCTTTGTGTGACAGTTAAATGTGCTATAATACTTTAAATTCAACAATAATTTTTATATCGCTTACAATACTTAGAAAGTCGGTATGACAGTGACACTTTGTAAAGATTTACACACAAAACTACACCTACGTGATCCATAAAAAACTTCAGGCATTTCGAAAAACTAAATTTGATAACGTTTTTGCTTTATTTTAATTGATTTGGATTTCCTAACATTCAGTCGTCATTTACTCGAAAACTTTCCTATGTGAGATGGCAACATTTTAATACTGTCGGATCGACAATGAAAGGATATTTCCGAATCAAGAAAAAAAATACGGGGTTGCTATTTAAAAAAATGTCGATGACATCATTACTCGAAAACAAATGACGGTTGAGAATCGTTTTTTATACTAAAATTTGTATTTTTTAAATTAAAAATCGACCTGTTCGAAGATTATTCCCGAAAATAAATTGTCTCGTTTTTACAGAATTTATTCCATACTTTAGGCACGTACTGTATAATAATATAACTTACTTTCCTATCGAACAGCAAACATCGGTACATGGAAAACACCTGCCCCAATTTGTTTTGAAGGAATATCTTGCCTTGAGCGGTGGCGTAAGTGTCCAAAGTATCTTCCTTTTCCGTATCCGAGCCAGAAATACTGGAGAGATCATCTGGGAGTACACGGAAATTACACTTAAAAAAACGGTCGTTCCCAAAAAATTGTACTTTACACTTACCGTTTCCTGTTTTCTCACCAAACTCCTCCTCAGTAATGGGAGGTTTCGATACCAGAGACTGTTTCAAGTTATACCGGTGCCAGTCTAGCTTGTAATGCTCCCTCTGACTCTGAATATCGGAGAATTTGATGCGGCAATACGAGCAGGACAGATTTTCGTTTTCCGAAGACCAGTCGTCTATCTGTGCGGACGATTCTGGAACCACAAAAAAATTTGTAGCACCTGATTACCTCCACGAAGGAAAAGGTAGTTTACCATCTTTGTCGCCACCTTCCAAAAGGACACTACACACGGATTCACCGATCACGTTGTGGAAACTTTGACCGAAAACGTTCATGCACTCCATTCTATGGGTCCACAAGTTACCTATAAAAAATTGCAGTGTTTACCACAGAACGGTAGGCTTAAATGAATAAGTGTTTTAAAAGTGGATAAGATTGCACAACTTATTGAAATGATTAATGTGAATTCTTAGAAATCCTAATAAATGTTCGAAGGTATTGCCAGACACTCGCAGTTACATAAAATGCTATAAAAGTAGCTTCTACCTGGTATTTATTAAAAAAAAAATGTATATATTTTGTATTTTTTGAATTATAAATATATATAATGCGGAAAATAGTAAATTTTATAGTCACAAAAGGTTTTTTTCAGTTTATAAGACCTGGTAAAAGTAATGTTTTATATAGTCCTGTAGCCAGGGGGGTCCCAATTGCCTCCTTTATTTAGATGGAGTTCCCCAGGTGTTTTTTTTATATTGTGAACTGCAGAACACAAATTTTTTGGGTAGAAAATATTGCAAATTCTTATTAAATTGTTAATGTTTCGTTCAGTTTTCATCGTTTCTTTGGTCTAGAAATGAAGAGTACGCGTCAAGATTGTGTATTAAACGCCTGTAAGAAGGCAACCGCTCTCTTACATACATGGCGGAGCACCCTTCTGAACGCTCAATCGGTATTTGTTTATAGCTTTAAATAACAGTGGAAAAAACAAATTTTCACACTGCAATTACTCATAATTTGTAGTATTTAATGTGAACTTTCAAACGCCATCAGCAGAATTACAAAATACCTATTCAATCAAAAGTTATTAACAATTGAAAATCGCAAAAATTGCATTTTTCTAGTTTTTAACGGCGTTTATCTCGAAAACCATATGTTTAACAAAAAAATTGCAAGACATTTTCCTCTTAAATTGGGTCAAAGAACAAGAAAATACTTTTTATTTTGCCAAAAACTAACTTCTCAGTATTTTGCAAGTTTTTTGTTAATAAAAAACTTATCGACATCCGGGCAAACTTCTACCCAAAAAATTCGGGTTCTGCAGCTCAAAATACAACAAAAACACTTGGGTAACGCCATCTAAATGAAGGTTGGACCCCCCCCCCCGGCTACAGGACTGCGATATCGCAAAATAAATTGTACTCGTCCTGTTTATAACAGTTGTTTTGTATTGAAATGTTATATTACTTAAAATGTATATTGCTTAATTAATAAAATCATAAATAAGTTTCAAAAAACCGACAAATTATTTTGATATTTGTTTTATGATCTAGAACGAAAAAGACTGGCGTTCCAGAACATTAAAGTATTTTGCAGCAAGGTAACAAAAATGACTAATTTTGTCAACTGAAAATTTAACGAAAACGTCGACCTTTTGATGACAGTTCTCCAGAAAATAATTTTTTAGAACACCTAATCGATAATAGTGTCTTATTTGATTTTTAAATTGTCCATTTTAATCGCTGTCGCAAACAAATCTTTTATTATTTATAAAGCCTGGTAAAATTAGTTTTATTTTTAGGATGCATCGAAATATCACGATAAGAACTAATACAAAAAAATATGTACATTAAGGAACGAAACAAAGCAAAACAAAAATATTTTTCGTTTTATTACTAACTCCCAAAAAAAAAAAATTTACATTTCTTATCTGATTTTGGAGAAGGAAAGGTTAAATAAGATTCCATCTTGTAAAATAACGGGCTATATATTTTCTAAAAGATATACATAAACTGCCATTTTTTTAAATAAATAAATAAAAATTCTATAATTTTTTTAAAAGAATACAAAATCAATGACTGATTGCGTACATATATAAACATATGTAAATAAAATCAATAAACACCTACAAAATACTAAATCTTACAAAAATATATGTTTGAACAAAGTAAATGTATATTTAAATATTTGTACTACTTTTTCCTCAATACTGGATGGAAACCCCTCTGAAGTACATGTAGAAGAACACAAAAACCCCAACTAATACTGCAAAGACATAATTCAAGTGGAAAGTGTGCCCCGACTGCTCTCTACAAAAAAAAATACATGTCGCAATAAAATCTCTGATAGACAATACATAAACGACAGATAACAAAGTTACTGATAAAATTAATAACAAGCAATAAAAATCCTATAAAATTACAGACAGAATACTATAAGAAACAGCAGATAAATCGTAATTAAGAGCCGTACAACCTCAGTTATACATAACCCACAATTTTAACTTACTTGTATTTTTTCGGTGAAAAAGGGCTAGGTGGTTGAACGCCAGGTACGTTGGAATCCAAATAAACCATTATCCACGTAAAATAGCTGCTCAAAATCCCGCAAAGCAGTGGTAACCAAAACCCGCTGTACTTAACAGCTGTCTTCCAAGTATATTCATACATAACCCGCCCATCTTCAGACAATGTCTCATAAGAAATCAGTTTCTGTTCGAAAATCGCTTTCTCAATGTCTTCTCCTACAAATAACACACAGTAGAGTTATAAATAGGCTGCGACTATAACAATTCTTGATAACTGTAACCTTAACCTAATTTTCAGTATCGAAGCTTCAAACTGAATGTGGGTTAATGGTACTGCTTAAAAAAATCTGTTGAATACTTACTATACAGGGTGAAAACCTTCGTTGCGATTACTAGGAAACACAGAATTAATCCAAACACGGACAATCTTCTTTCACTCAAAACAGGAACTTCCTCTTTTAGGTTATGGGTTCTGGGTGTGCTAGGAACGCTAGGATAGTACGGATCATTCGAGTATTTCTCACTTAATCGTTGGCGGAGCATATCGCAGAATTAAATGTTGAGAATGATTCGAAATTAAAAGCGTAAAACTGCCCGAGAATGATGACAAACGGGCATGAAAATATCGACTTACCTTTTTTTAAAGATGACGTAATTTGACAGGTAAATATAGACGCAGGACGTTAGCTCAGACCTACGTCGCCTAGCTGTGGAGGGGATGTGTCTCTAAGTATAGTTTGTTTCGCGATACTGCGAAAAAAAAAACAATTATGGAAAAGAGAATAGAGTGTTTTTTTCAGAAGGTTTGATTAAAATATGTTGCATGCATTCTGCTATTTTTGGTAATTTTTTAATATGACGAAGTTATGGAGGATATTTAGTCATCCGAGAAAACTGAATTAGCCCAACAGCTCAGTAATTCCATTCGGATAGTAATACGTTGTTCTATATTGTACAAGCAATGTCATGCCAAAATTTGGTTAATGTAACGCATCTATATTAATTAAGAAGTTACAAGAAGTATAAGTGCATAAGAATAGGCCTAAATAGTGATTAATTTTAGAAATTTGCACTTCCCAAATTATTATATTTCAATAGATTCCTGTGTGTATTCTGTATTAGTACTATTTTTGTATAATTTGTATCTTTTTCAAATTCACTTTAATCGAAACACACTATAACTAAATGAAGACGTATGTCGTGCCTAACTCCCTCCGCCACATTTTCATTGCATTTTGAACGGATTCGTGTTCATGTCCGTTGTTGTTTCAGTTCGCCTTGTTTCTCGGTGTGTGTATGGTGACAGGTATAGGAACCGAAACTTTATCTTTTATCTTACCGGGTTGACTCATCACGCGAATACTAAATACTTGAGCTGTGTGGAACTGAGAAATGCGGTGTATCTAGTGCAAAAATACACGAAAAAATAAAAAGAGAAGCGAGCCATGGCCATGCAACGGGAAGTCGGTGTCGGGGATTTTGTCCTCATGGACAAAATAGACCTGGAGAACTTTATGCAGAATCTTGAACTAAGGTGAGTGAGTGGGTATTACTTATATAGGGTGTGGGTATTACAATTGCACAGGGTTTCTGTTAAATCCGTAACCACTGAAATAGTCCAGCGACTCTTCGGCGATTGACAGGTGGCCTAAACAATTGAATTGAGTTGCACGGCGTGCTATGATTCGAATATTAATTCCGGAGTTCAGCGCTCACTAAATAATAAATAGAAAGATGGGTAGGTACATAAATATATTTATTTGAGTACCTACTGTTTTGCCTAGCCGAACAAAGTAGGGCTTTGTCAAGGTGTAACGCCTTGTATAATTAATGTTCTAAACGTGAATGTAATTACAAACATAAATTATATGCGGTATCGGATTCATGACTCATATTCGCGATGAACTAATCGACTTACTAGTATGGTATAACTAGTTTGGCATCATTTTCCTTTTCCTTCGATAATTTTTACGTCATAACACGATGAGACATTTTTACAGTGATAAATAGGTAAAAATATTCCACGACTTCAATATCTAATATTTCATCAATGTATAAATGTTTTTTATTATTAATAGTAATAGTACCTAAGTAAAATCACAAAAAACAGTTAGGTAATATTAATATGTATATAATTGTACTGTAAAGTTTTCAAGTAATCTCAATTTTATTGGGCAATCAAATTGCACCTATTATCGCAGAATAAGTCGTGATAACATTTATTGAAGTGTAGATAAATATTGTAAATATCAAGACGATCATATCTACATATTTTGACAAAACAAACAAGAATTAAAAAAACACGAGTGTATGTTTGTTATACTTTCACACTTTATTGTAACTAAAAACGGTGGTATCCATAATATAAACAGCTATAATCCTTTCATTATCCTTTATTGTCGTCGTAACTATTATTATTATATAAAATTGGCCATTTTAAAACAATTGCCACTCAACGGTTATCGAAAGAGCCAAGTTGTTAGGCCATTGAGAATGACTGGTGTTAGCCTTAAACGCAAGACATGATTGAGGTGAGCATCAAGTCACCAGAATAATAAACACAACTTTCCATGGCCTCCCACTATGTGTGACTGGCTGATGTTGAATGAATAATAGAGATTCGTATTAAAAACTTGATGTCATAGGTACTTAATAGGTGTTACTGATTTGGAACGTCTAAATTGAAAAGTTATGAACATGGCACATCACACGAATATAAACGAAGTAATATTTAAAAGAATATAAAAACAGCTTTCAAATGGTCAAGTTGCAATGTAGACGCCTTGTATGTAACATCATGTGTGATGCTGACGGTCGTTTTCAGTAAAATTTAAATATTGAAGTGATCGTAAACTAAACGAAGCCGAAAGTTATTATTAGAACCAGAGGACTTGCGTTGAGTTGAGAGTCGAGACCACAGCCAAGTGTGAATGATTAATAAGTTCGAGCATATGTATTGTTTGGCGCCAGATTATTCAAAACAGACTTGCGAGGTCAAAAATCTATTCGTTTTCTGATGGGGGGCATCACTGGGGTTGTACAGGGCGGACCAAATAACTCACCTGTCCGCTTTGCCTTGCTTATTTAAGGAGGGTTGGGTGGTACGAAAAAATGCAGACAATTTCGTATTATTGAGATATATTATGTTTGCATTGCGAAATCAAAGTCTGAATTATTCTATAATTATTTATCGATTTGTTTTTGTTTTTAATTACTTAATGCTAACAATTTGAATATTTAACATGGGAAATGCTATGAAGCATACCCTTGCAATAGAATTACGGGTAAAAAAATGCAAATGACAGGACGAAAAAATCTAGATATTTACCTGAATCATTAATTAATAGATGAGAGAAAGAAAAAAGTAGGTTACCGCACATTTAACAGAGAAATAAATTATAGAACATAAAAATTTTTGACTTGTATGTAGAGTATGAATGAGGATAGGTGGGAGCAAATTTAAATAAATTTTCGATACAAAATTTAATTAGAAATGGATTGCATTCAACTTGTGTTTATTTGTGTAATTCAATTTGGAATTATAAAATAAAATGGGAAAGTTTCAAATGAAGTATGTTTTTTGAAATTTTTTTTATTTATAAACTTTCAATAGGTACAAGAAGTAAAAAATACAGCAGCATATAAACAATGAAATATTTATACTTCACATTGTACCCATGTGTCTGACGGTGTGCTGAGGATCTGGCTCTACAATCTTCTCTTCAACAGCTTTTTTCCTGCTTTTGCTATTTTCTGTTCTAATTCTCAAGCACCCATACTTTCTTTTGGTCACAAATTTTCCTTTCTACCGACGCTGTTTTTCATTCGACATTTTACAGGTTAAAGCAATCAGCTGTGCGAGCGTTCACATAGCATACAAATAATAAACTCAGCATACTCTGCGCTGCTGCCAAGTTTCTGTTGCAACTTTTCACATTTATTTGTGCATATTAGGTAAAAAAGTAATAATTGAGAAATGGAAATACATAATTTTAAGCAGTTTAAACTCGGTTTTATTCAATATCTACAAGCAAGTATCTCAATCTACTTACTTTCTAGCATAAAGGATTTTTTTTTGATTGACTAATGATTTTGTAACACGGTAAATATAGGGCCCCCCGTGTTCCGCTTCACCAACCCCGATGAAACACCCGATCTTCCTTAAACGCAAGGAAAAAAATTGTTATTCAAGTCTATATTTCTCCGATTAATGATGAAAATTTGTGTTTTTATAAAAAAAATGAACTTTAACACTAATTTAATTTTCTTTCATGCTTTTTAATAAAATGTCAACATATGTCCTCCACAAAAACAATCGATATCACTGTTCTCGAGGGACAAAGTGACATATAACTCTAAACTTTCCGTATATCTTTTGTTGATCTACAAGGGAAAATATTCCGGATATAAATTATGTAAAGCCCAGGGCCTAGACTATAAAATTTTACTTGTGGCCCGACCCATATTAAAAAAATGTTTGTTATGTAAATCGAAACGACTGTTTAATGAAGGGTGTACATATTTTGTTTGGGCCTTTTTAGGGTACACAGCTCCCTGCAGCACTGAACAAATATGACGAGAAAGTGATAAAAACTTAAAGAAATATATCGGGTTTCAGTTTATCATCTGAGCGTATTGGTTTTGGTGCTGGTTAGTGAAGTTTTAACGATTTGAAAATATACCATCATCCCACCCATATATTGCCATATATACAGAACTTCCAATTAAAAAAGTTTAATTATTACGGCATATATGACAGCCTATTATACGGATTATTGCACTTGTCAACTATTTCAAGTTAAAAATCATATTATTGTATACAAAGCGCCTTGCATTTCCCATAATTGTTAAAGTAATAATAAGTCATGACATTATTATACAGCATGTCCACGGTTAGAGTGAATAAAAGAAAAAACATTTTTATTTTTCATTTTACAGAAAAAGGCGCACTAATTAATAAAAAAGTTTCCTTGTGTTTAAAATCAGGAGAAAGTTTAACAAAAGATTGACTCACATTCCTGGTTCTAATGAAAACAATTGATTTTATTTTTATTACAATTCATTAATGTTTATTGTATTTTATTTGAAAGTACACTGTTCCACCGGTTTAATCCCAATTCCAGGGCAAGAAGGTGCAGATGGAAAATAACATATTAAATTGAAAAAAAAAACAGTAATGAAACAAAATGTATAAAAAAATAATACTAATACTAATAATCAAATAAAATGAAAAAATTAATAAATAAAATGATAAAAATAATAAAAAACGAATAAAAGAAAAAGTCAATCTAACAAACTAATAAATTAATGTTTAAAATATGATTCAAAGCCGTTAAGGTTGCGACATGTGAGGAAAAAATTAAAAAAAAAATGGTGAAAGTTAATGTCAGTTCTTTATTTACGATTTAGCACGGAACTAAAAAACTTAAACCCAAATAAATATCTCAAGAAATCCATCATGCTTTAAAGTTATTGTGAATAATACCAAATCGAGAATTTTATTTACTTACGAGCAGAACAAATTCAAATGAAAATGATGATTCTAGTTGCCCCAAATCCCCAAATATTGTCTTCATTTCAAATCAACAGTCCTCTCTTTATGACTAACAAGTGAAAATCTCGACGCCTTCTACAATTCACAGCCACTTAAGTATGAAAGATATTTCGCTCACCCCATACGTTTGTCGTGCGGCAATAAAAAGTGAAATTATATTCACTCGCAGTCCCTGACATCATTCAAAGCCTCAAATAAAACCAAAACATCAGGGATATATTTAAAATTCAGTGGGTACCGTTACTTACGCCAATTGCGATTACGATTATTCAGAGCTTATTTTCAAAAATAAGTTCCGTTCCTGAGAAATGCATTCGCGGAGGAGTCATTTGAATGAAGTGATATTTATCGTTATTGTCAATTTGCCAGTAGTTTTTTTTTTTTTTTAATAACCAACCTGTTTTTGTTTTGAGACAGTTGCTTCTGTCAAAATTTTTATAAATTGTCGATTATCTCGAAAACGGTTAAACTTAGATACAGGGAACCTTTATCATTTTTAACTTATTTTTAATTTATTTTGTCGATAATGCAATAATATACAGGGTGTTCCATTTTAGTTAAGCAATTAACTAATTTTTAAACAATTGCATTATTTTATTTAAAGAGAGCATTCCCGCGAAAAAGTAGTCTCTGAAATATTCTAATGGACCGTCACCGTAAGACAGCCTATAGACCTAAGTATTAGATATTTAGATCATTTATTGATTTTTTTTATTTTGCGAAAAGGACTAACACTGTATATTTTTTTATGATTTCTATTGGAAAGACAAATAATTTAGCTCGTTTAAGGTAGTTGTAAAATCAATTCTCAACTATTCCAGAAAATAAATAAATATTATATACCTCCGAAATTTCTCTGAAAGTCTGCCCTAGGCACAATGGGGGCCTTGTATGTAAACAAACAATGAGCACATTTTAACACCGACGGTACAGTGTATCACGTTTCCATTTACTGTTATAGCTACTACAAACTTGCTAAT